TTGTTGTTAGTGGTGGAGGCAGCGGTGGTGGTGGTGGTGGTGTTAGTGGTAGGAGCGTTTATAGGAGTGGTGGCGGTGATGGTGATGGTAGTGGTGGCGGCTGTAGTGGTAGCGTTGGTGGTAGTGAGGAGCGGTGGCGCAACGGTTAGCGCGCTGCAGCTACGAACCCGGCGGCCCGAGTTCAATTCCCGCTCATAGTCAATATCGGTGACGAACATCTGAAATCGGTCCTGGGCTCTCCCCTGGGTCGACTCAGCCTCAAATGAGTACCTGGTGCGGTGTGTAAACATCGCCACTGGGGAGACAAAGGCGGTCGGGCGTGGTGCTGGCCGCTCCACCGCCCTCGTGCGCCGTGCCGGCCGACGGGATGGGTGCTACTGCCTACCAGAGGACTGTGGAGGCCACACGGGGGATCTTTGAAGGGGGGGGGGGGTGTGTGGGGGTACCTGACCCCCCCGCTCCCCCCACCTTTGGTGACCCCTTGATGTGCCCGGGCTGCGTGGCTGTCACGCGCACACGTGGCTCGCCGTGCACGCGCGCTAATTACGCTCGCTCGTCAATTACGCCCAATTATCGTGCCACGTGCATCAAACGTGCCCGGCTAATTAACATTGTGCGTGGGTGCGTGCGTGGGTGCGTGCGTGGGTGCGTGCGTGGGTGCGTGCGTGGGTGCGTGCGTGGGTGCGTGCGTGGGTGCGTGGGTGCGTGCGTGGGTGCGTGCGTGCGTGGGTGCGTGCGTGGGTGCGTGCGTGGGTGCGTGCGTGGGTGCGTGCGTGCGTGGGTGCGTGCGTGGGTGCGTGCGTAAAATTGGTAAAAACACAAGACAGATCCCTTGTATAGCCTTGAACAGACCTGTTAAGGGTAGCGCCTATGAGAGCTGGCCCGGCTGCCTTTGTCTCCCCCAGTGGCGATGTTTACACACCGCACTCGGTACTCATTTCAGGCTGAGTTGACCTAGGGGAGGCCCAGGACCTGTTCATATATTCCGCTGCTGTTTGCGGAAATCGAACTCGGCTGACCGGGTTCATAGCGTGGACACACGTACACGGGGGCAGTGAGGAGTGCCGTGAATGATTGAACACGGACTCACACCGACCTCACTCCAGGATGTCCCCGACTCCAGTCCGCGCGACTCACCACGCTACCTACGCCTTGTTTTTGCCAAAAAAATTTTTAACCAATTTTACTCACGCTGCACATTTTGAAACTCGTATCACATGATGATGCGCTAAGCAATTAACGCTATCTGCGTCACGAGGAACACGTGTGCACAACAGACACGCACACTGAGATCTCAATCTTAACATGAATCCGATCTATTCACGGAGAGAGCGTTCACTGCTTTGTGCGTCGCGTGAAATGTGTTCCACAATCATCGGGCACGTTCAGCGTGGAAGCGAGTTTGGGACACCCTGCGTTACTCCGTCTATAAAAAAACGTAAAAAAAAGCATGGAGGAGTAGTGACACAGCGGTTAGTGAACCCCGATACCTGAGTTCGATTCCCGGCCATGGCTAACATCGGCGAAGAATATCTAAACAGGTTATGGACTCCCTGATTTCACCAACTCGCTCTGACCGGCGTGGTGAAGTATGGTCAAACAACGCCCGCGACCGGTAACTTCACCCCACGGCAACTTGTGCCAGGCTAGGTGCACTTTTGAGGTGAGGTGAAACTGTGGATGGCTCGCTGCGCAAATGGTCGCAGGACATGCACGCATGTATACCGTTCATTTCTACGACACAGTTATACACAATACAGTGTGTTTATATTTACACGCACGTGACCGAATGAATATACTTCCTCACGCTGGTGTAGGAGTTCTGAATCAGAATATTTTTTTTATATATATACCAGAGGAATCCGATGAGCTAAAAAAGCTCTTTTTCACAGATGTCCAGTAGGGGCAGGCAAGGGTTGGTGTTGGCACGGTATGACCCCCGGGTTGGAGGTCACTCGCCGTGGACGGGACGGAAAAGCGGTCAGGCCGCTCACCTGACCCCCAAACCCAGGCATGATCCCTGCTGCTGCTGCTGCTTCTCGGTAGCTGTCACATCGGAGTCTCGGCTGTATAGCCAGTGGCAGGGCGGCTTCACCATCCACCGATATATGCCCCCATGCACCATCTCTCTCACCCGTTCATCAATCCATCCATCTATGCATCCATCAATCCATCCATCAATAAATATATGCATACATCGATCAATGCAAATATAAATCTATCAATCCATGCATTGTCCATCACTCCATGCATCATCCGTCAATCCATCCATCTATGCATCATCCATTAATTCATCCGTGCTTCTATCAATACATCAATCCATGCATCATTCATCAAACCTTACATGAAATAAAATATATCCATAATCAATTCATCAATCATCCGACCATATATACATCCGTCATCCATCAACATCATCCCATCAAATATACATCGATCATCCATCACGATCAACACATTCACCATCAATACATCCACCATCAATACATTGACCACCGTCAATACGTCCATCACAAATCCATCCCTAATTTTTCCATTAATCCAGCCATCGTCATCAACATAATACACTTTTCGTCATTCATCCATCAACTTCAAAGTATGGCATCGTCACTGTCATGACCATAATCATCACCATCGTCTCCATCAGCATCATCATCATAGTGTCTCGACGCCAGTTGCTCACTCACTGCAGGTGCTCTCACGGCGGCGAGATGTCGAGATTGTTGGACACTTTATCGACCCAATTCATGGTGACGATGGTTTCGGGTTTCACTTGAAGCGTGGAGTCTAGCGAGCCCCGGGCGCCCTGCTGCTCAACCTGGCTCAGGAGCCAGACGCCAATGTTGAGGTCTGCTGCCGTTGCTGCTGCTGCTGCTGCTGGCCATGGTGAGAGAGCTTCAGCAGAGAGAGAGTTCGTGTCGTTCTGCTGTTGCTTTGTTAAAGCAGCGCAACCCGCAGTGGGATTACTGCACGGACCGTAGTTTGGGTTGCACGGCCACAGACACTCACCTTTGCGCCCCACGTCACCGAGTGAGTCCACGACTAAAACATCATCTCAGGTGAGCACGTGGGCTGTCGGTACGTTTTGAGCACAGGTGGATTGTGTTGGCGATGCTGCTGCTGCGTTGGCAGTGGTGCGCAATCAACAACAACACTGTGTGAGCGGTCTTAAAACAGGCGACGTTTCGAGCAATGGTCCTTCATTCATAGCACATGGATGATGATTGCGAGGTTGTGATGTACGTTGAACGTCTTTGGCGCCGTACGGAGCTAACCCGTGCTCGTCCGAGGTGCGGGGGATGGGCAACAACATAAGCACAAAAAGCAGTTCTCGAAAAATGAGTTTTCAATCGTCGAGATTATTAATAAAAAAAGTGCAAAGCTTTCTGAAGGAAGAGCGTTCCAGACGGCCGAAGAAGCGCATTTGAAAGCGCGCGATGCGGTGGTGCCCGTTGTCTTTGTTCGATGGCTATCAGGCAAAGGCCGCTGCTGCGAGGATGACCGCAGTTCGCTTGATGAGCGGCAGTAATGACGGTGGCGGTGACCTCGCGATGATGAATAATCCGGGGTGGCGATCGTGGCGATGGCGAGGGACTAGCCGACGATTCGATGTCCGATTTGTGCGATCCACTCCACGGCTTCCCGAGAGCCTGAGTGGAGCAATGAAGTTTCTCCAAGCAAAGACGATGGCGGTCACCGTGACGGTGGCTGGGATGAGGATGTGATGATGATGATGGTGCGCGATTGATGACGAAAGTAATGATGATGATGGTGGTGGTGATGATGGCGAGTGATGATATCAGCCACACTGCTCGTGATGTGCAGAGCGGCGATAGTCGCGGTTTCAGGAAGGAGCCGAGCGAAGCTGTTCACTGATGTCGGCTCGAATCTTCTTCTCTTGCTTCTTGTCACGAGTCACGTGGGGACTGCTGTCAACTCCACCACTCGCCCCTCCACCTCTCGCCCCTCCACCTCTCGCCCCTCCACCTCTCGCCCTCCACTCTCGCCCTCCACCTCGCCCCTCCACCACTCGCCCCTCCACCACTCGCCCCTCCACCTCTCGCCCCTCCACCTCTCGCCCCTCCACCTCTCGCCCCTCCACCTCTCGCCCCTCCACCTCTCGCCCCTCCACCTCTCGCCCCCTCCATCTCTCGCCCCTCCACGTCTGACGTTGTCACGCACCCGGCTCACCGGGAGGGACCGTCTCTTCGCACCCCACGTCACTGCCGGATGAACAAACGAGGCGAGCACCACGATCCAAGCCCCGTGGTGCTGTTTGTGTCGCGACGAGTTTGGTTTAACCCCCTCATCGGCAGTCACGAAATCCGCAATAAATAATAACAACAACAACAACAACAACAATCTTAGTCGTGCACTGTGCATCACAGTGTCAGCCCAGCGCTGGAGAGAAGCCACACAACCACCACACAGTGTCGGTCACCATTGCGGCTGTTCAACCATACTTCACCACTCGTTCTCAATGCGCATATGTGAAGTGGAAGGGCGCGTGGGGTGGAGGGGTTCAGAAACCGGTTTGGACATCACTCGCCGCTCATAGCACCCTGGGCCGGAATTCAAACTCGGCTCGCCCGTGCGCGGTGCGCTACCCATGGCGCCCACCGCCCCCAGCACCGCAGCGCGCAGCACTCGACAAGAGCGGCAGCAGCGAACGTAGCGGGAGTGTTGGTCGCGCTACGTGAGAGACACGGGCCGGGAGACACGGGCCTGGAGACACGGGCCTGGAGACACGGGCTGGGGGCTGGGGGCCGGGGGCCTGGATCAGGGAGCTGGACGCGGCCTCTCAGCAAGAGAGCGGCGGCTCCACACCGGCCGAGACGGAGAGCGGAGGAACACCGCCCCCCCCACCTCCACCCCCCCACCTCTCCCCCACCCACCTCCACCCCCCACCTCTCCCCCACCCCCCACCTCCCCCCTCCCGGACCGTGACTCGACCTCTCTGACCTCTCCCCGCCGCGGCTCACGTTGCGCAATCGATCCGCTTGTAGTTTCACGATGTGAGTTCGTTTATTGTCGCGGAGCCGGAACGCCGGAACGGGCCCGGTGTTGAACCGCAGCCTTGCCGCGATCCCAGCCAAGGGGGTGAGCCGCGGATGATCGCGAGGCGCCGGGAGGGTTCAGTAGAGAAGCGAGCGGGATGACGGGTGGGGGTCTGGGGGAGACGTGGGGGGGGGGGGTGCCGGGGAGAGAGGGGAGGGGGATGTGCGGCGGGGTTCTGTACGCGTGAGAGGTTTCGCTTGTCAGACGGTCGCACATTGAAACGCGAGGCTGTGACATCGTCGGCCGCGAGTCCTGCCGCGTCTCACTTGGTGCCAACCTCACGCCCGCCGCAGCGCTCGGCGTGTCGCGCCAGGGGTGAAGTTGTGGTGAGGTTGTGGTAAAGTTGTGGTGAGGTTGTGGTAAAGTTGTGGTGAGGTTATGGTAAAGTTGTCGTGAGGTTGTGGTAAAGTTGTGGTGAGGTTGTGGTAAAGTTGTGGTGAGGTTGTGGTAAAGTTGTGGTGAGGTTGTGGTAAAGTTGTGGTGAGGTTGTGGTAAAGTTGTGGTGAGTTTGTGGTAAAGTTGTGGTGAGGTTGTGGTAAAGTTGTGGTGAGGTTGTGGTAAAGTTGTGGTGAGGTTGTGGTAAAGTTGTGGTGAGGTTGCGGTGAAGTTGTGGTGAGGTTGCGGTAAAGTTGTGGTGAGGTTGTGGTAAAGTTGTGGTGAGGTTGTGGTAAAGTTGTGGTGAGGTTGTGGTAAAGTTGTGGTGAGGTTCGGGTTGAAGTTCAGGGTCGATGCGGACGCCCCCCCCCCCCCCCCGTCTCTGCTTGCTGCTGAGCCGAGCGGGCGCGAGCCGCGCCTTGGGGCCCAGGGGTGGTGAAATATGGGGACGAAGGACGGGGTGGGGGGTCCTCTGTGCAAGGGGGGAGGGTAGCGGGGGGGGGGGGTTGCGTCTTGACCCCAGCGGGGCCGGGACTCCCCGCTTCCCTGACTCCGTTCCTGGGACCCCCACTCCCCGCAGTGTTTCACCCAACTGAGCAGGGGAGGAGGAAGAGGGGGGCGGGGGGGGGTACGCCCCCTTCCCCCGTAGCCCCCCTCGCCCCGCCGCACCCCCAGCTCGCTACCCGATGTTGACAAGGCTGGAGGAGAGCGGCTGCAGCAGTGAGGAGTCCTGCAGGGCGTGCTGCTGCTGCTGCTGCTGCAGGGAGCCCGGCCCGGGCAGGGCGCCCCCCGCAGAGTTAGAGACCAAGACGGGGAGAGGCATCAGAGTGCCCCCCACGTACTGCTGCTGGTACGCGCTGGCGTGATGCTGCTGCTGCTGCTGCTGATGATGATGATGCTGATGATGCTGTTGCTGCTGCTGCTGATGGTGATGATGTTGGTGGTGCTCGCCGTGCCCTGCTGCTGCTGCTGCTGCTGCGGGGTGATGTCCCAGGAGGCGGGGCGGGGTGTCGTTGGGGGTGGAGTGCGCGGGGGAGGGGGCCGGGCTCCTCTCCTCGTCCGAGCTCAGGAGGCCGCGGCCCCCGTGGAGGGGGGAGAGCACCAGCCCCCCAGCGCCGCCCGTGCCCCCTCCCGCGTTGGAGTGGTGGTGGTGCGCGTTCTCGCTGTTCTCTCTGTGGGGAGACGTGGAGAGTTGGGGGAGATCGAGGGGGGAGGTGGGGGGAGATGGAACGGGATTCGTCACGGAGGGACCCTGTACTCATTCTGCCTCGATACAAATCGATACAAATTGACACAAATCGATAAAAATCGATACAATTCGATACAAATCGACACAAATCGATAAAAATCGATACAAATCGACACAAATCGCACTCCTCCGTCGAATGCATCACGCCGTGACGCGCCGCTCCGCAAAGACAAATATCCCCCGTGTAGCCTCAACAGACTGTTGGGGCAAGTGCCGTGAGCGAGTAGCACCTATGAAATCCGACACGGCACACGAGGGGGTGGGTGGCCAAAGCCACGCCCGGACGCCTTTGTCTCCCCAGTGGCGATGTTTGCACCCCGCACCAGCTACTCATTTGAGGCTGAGTCGACCTAGGGGAGGCCCAGGATCGGTTGAGATAATCGTCACTGGCGGTGTTGGCCGGGTTCGTAGCGCAGCGCGCTACCCCCTCCATTGCCGCTCTCCACCACACCACACACTCCCCACCAAGTCACACCACACCACACACGCCCCACCAAGTCGCACCACACCACACACAACACACCAAGTCGCACCACACCACACACAACACACCAAGTCGCACCACACCACACACAACACACCGAGTCACACTACACCACACACTCCCCACCAAGTCACACCACACACTCCTCACCAAGTCACACCACACCACACACAACACACCACGCGAACCACACCACACACTGCCCACCGAGTCACACCACACCACACCACACACTCCCCACCAAGTCACACCACACACTTCCCACCAAGTCGCACCACACCACACACAACACACCACGCGAAACACACCACGTTACCCAACGGGACGCACCACACACAACACACCACGCGAACCACACCACGTTACCCAACGGGACGCACCACACACACCAGACATTACCTACCGAGACGAACCACACACCACCAACATGCAACACACACCACCTCTCGACCTAACAACTCACACCCCACCCACACGAAACCTCCACCACACCTGGACAAACTCCTCTCTCATCGGTTGTATTTAACGCATTGCTCAAGTTACGCTTCAGCCGAGGAAAGCCTCGCTGGACCTCATGGCTCAGTTTTCGCTGTTCGGGCGGGGGGTAACCTTATTGAATAATTTATGGTCAATTTATCAAATGTGGCCTAACATACTCTAGCGAATGACGCCGCTGTGATGCGCCGCGTATTATTTTGTAAATATTAAATATTCACCCGCGGTATTAATCAGGGCTGCCACTGGAATTCGCACCGCGGTTCCGCTGCTTTAAGGAGCGGCGAACCGCGCTGCGGCTCAATCCTCCCACCGTGCGGCCCCGGCCAACGCTCCGTCACCACACGCACCACGTGGTGGATGAACACACGCACCACGTGGTGAACACACGCCCCACGTGGTGGATGAACACACGCCCCACGTGGTGGATGAACACACGCACCACGTGGTGGATGAACACACGGCCCACGTGGTGGATGAACACACGCCCCACGTGGTGGATGAACACACGCCCCACGTGGTGGATGAACACACGCACCACGTGGTGGATGAACACACGCACCACGCGGTGGATGAACACACGCCCCACGTGGTGGATGAACACACGCCTCACGTGGTGGATGAACACACGCACCACGTGGTGGATGAACACACGCACCACGCGGTGGATGAACACACGCACCACGTGGTGGATGAACACACGCACCACGTGGTGGATGAACACACGCACCACGCGGTGGATGAACACACGCCCCACGTGGTGGATGAACACACGCCTCACGTGGTGGATGAACACACGCACCACGTGGTGGATGAACACACGCACCACGCGGTGGATGAACACACGCACCACGTGGTGGATGAACACACGCACCACGTGGTGGATGAACACACGCACCACGCGGTGGATGAACACACGCCCCACGTGGTTGATGAACACACGCACCACGTGGTGGATGAACACACGCCTCACGTGGTGGATGAACACACGCACCACGTGGTGGATGAACACACGCACCACGTGGTGAACACACGCCTCACGTGGTGGATGAACACACGCACCACGTGGTTGATGAACACACGCACCACGTGGTGGATGAACACACGCCTCACGTGGTGGATGAACACACGCACCACGTGGTGGATAAACACACGCACCACGTGATGGATGAACACACGCACCACGTGGTGAACACACGCACCACGTGGTGGATGAACACACGCACCACGCGGTGGATGAACACACGGCCCACGTGGTGGATGAACACACGCACCACGTGGTGGATGAACACACGCACCACGTGATGGATGAACACACGCCCCACGTGGTGGATGAACACACGCACCACGTGGTGGATGAACACACGCACCACGTGGTGGATGAACACACGCACCACGTGGTGGATGAACACACGCACCACGTGGTGGATGAACACACGCACCACGTGGTGGATGAACACACGCACCACGTGGTGGATGAACACACGCCCCACGTGGTTGATGAACACACGCACCACGTGGTGGATGAACACACGCCTCACGTGGTGGATGAACACACGCCCCACGTGGTGGATGAACACACGCACCACGTGGTGGATGAACACACGCACCACGTGGTGGATGAACACACGCACCACGTGGTGGATGAACACACGCACCACGTGGTGGATGAACACACGACTCACGCGTTGGATGAACTCGGGTTTCGCCGATTTTGTGGTTGAGTGCGCTCACCACTGCGCCATCACTCCCCCATTCAAGCGCGTACACACGGTGGTGGTGGGGGGGGGGTTAAAGGCGGACGCGAGGAACGCGAGGTGCCTGTCCCCTCCATCTCCCCGACTTCTCACTCCTCCACGGCACAGCCAGCGGAGTCGCGGCCTGCCGCGCTGTGCGGAGCGGTGGCGTGGCGGTTAGCGCTACGCTGCGCTACGAACCCGGCCACCCGATTTCGAGTCCCGCTCACGGCCAACGCCCAGTGGCGATTATCTGGACCGGTCCTGGGGCCTCCCATAGGTCGGCTCAGCGTCAAATGCGTACCTGGTGCACGTCCCGTGCCGGCCTTCACGTGTTTGCTAACAGCGCTCGCCGCAGCAGGCTGTGTGGGTTCGTGTGTGTGGGTGCGTGTGTGTGTGGGTGCGTGTGTGTGTGGGTGCGTGCGTGTGTGGGTGCGTGCGTGTGTGGGTGCGTGCGTGTGTGTGGGTGCGTGTGTGTGTGTGTGGGTGCGTGTGTGTGTGGGTGTGTGGGTGCGTGCGTGCGTGGGTGCGTGTGTGTGGGTGCGTGTGTGTGTGGGTACGTGTGTGTGTGGGTGCGTGTGTGTGTGTGGGTGCGTGCGTGTGGGTGCGTGTGGGTGCGTGCGTGTGGGTGCGTGTGGGCGTGTGGGTGCGTGTGGGCGTGTGGGTGCGTGTGGGCGTGTGGGTGCGTACGTGTGTGGATGCGTGTGTGTGGGTGCGTGCGAGTGCGTGCATTTGTGGATGTTTTCTTAAATAGGGAGCGGTGGCGCAGTGGTTAGCCCCACGGGTGTGTTAAATGTCCCCCCCTCCTTTTCTAGGTCCACTCAACCTCAAACATTGGCACTGGGAAGACAAAGGCGGCCGGGCGTGGTGCTAGCCACTCCACTGCGCTGTGCTCCGTGCGGGCCTTCATAGGTGCTCCTCGCTAACAGCACTTGCCCTGGTAGTCTCTGTCAGCTACACGGGGGGGGGGGTCCTTTGTCTTTGTTTACGGCTTGGACAAAGTTTAACCCCATGAGTCCATAACCTACACACCAATCGTGACCCGCTGCCAGCAGCGAGCCTTCGTGAATTCACGTGACGGCCTCAAAGTGCACCTACCCTGGCACGGGCGATGCTGTTGACGCCACCGCCACTTCGCGGCGGCAGTCGGCTTGGTGGCGCGTGAGTGTGGGGGTGCGTGGGAGTCTGGCTGTGTTCCACACAGCACGTGTGTGTTGTACACAGCACGTGTGTTGTATACAGCACGTGTGTGTTGTACACAGCACGTGTGTTGTACACAACATGTGTGTGTTGTACACAGCACGTGTGTTGTACACAACACGTGTGTTGTACACAGCACGTGTGTTGTATACAGCACGTGTGTTGTACACAACACGTGTCCGAGCACGGAGTGAGTGTGCAGCATCCATTTGACGCGAGCTACGGTCTATCCACTGCTGGATGAAGCCCCCTCCCAACCCCAAGCATCCACCACCATCAACCACGGTCTATCCACTGCTGGATGGAGGCCTCCTCAAGCCTCCACCACCATCAGCCGTGGTCTACCCACTGCTGGATGGATGCCTCGCCACGCCGTCGCCATCACTCACGGTCGCAGCGACGCCTCGCCGGTGCCGTGGCTCCGTCCCCTCGAGGGGCGTGCGCTCCACCGCTACCTCCCCCCCCCCCTCATCCTTCTGACTGCCATTCCGTCGCCAGTCTCGTCCATCGACGGTGACCCCCTCCCATCGACGCGTCCTGCCCGCGTGTCCGCGTGTCTTGAAAGTCGATGGCTCTCATCCCGAGCGCGCCCTCGTCCGGCCCCGGTGATCCTCACGCACCACGGAGTGCGTGAGGATCACCCGATTCGGGATATTCCAAGCAGCATTCCCGACTTAATATCCAACACGGGAGTCCCCCCCCCCGTCCCCTGTAGCCTGAACAGATTGTTGGGGCGAGTGCTGTTAGCGAGCACCTACGAAGTCCGACACGGCACACGAGGAGGCGGGAGGCCAACACCACACCCGGCCGCACCAGGTACTCGTTTGAGGCTGAGTCGACCTAGGGGAGGCTCCAGGACCGGTTCAGATAATCGTCATCGGTGTTGGCCGTGAGCGTGAATCGAACTCGGGTGGCCGCAGGGCGGCGCGCTGACCGCTACAGCAGCGCTCCCCTTTGTCTTTGGATTAATGTCCACACACGCGAACACGTGGATAACAGCGAATCACT